GTGCCGGTTGTCACTTATAAAGTCCTCTGTGGCAAAAGACTTGGTTATTGAGGGACTGCCTATCTCTAGTTGTTTCTGTCTGCCCAGTACATTCAAGCAGAGTGACTGCACTCTAGGACCCCTCAATTAATTGTTATCATCTTGTGAGACCAAAGAAGCATGCCTTGTCTATCACAGCCCCTGACCTCTGGAATAGCATCTTCTGTATGGCCTCAACTCTCCAAGTGTTCTGAAAGTTCCTTAAAGCCTGGCTCTGCTCCCAGACCTGGGGTTAAGGTGTTATGGAGCCCGTCATGTTTTTTTTTTTTTTTAATGTTACTGTTATGGTCCAGTTAAGTCATTTTTTAGTTTCTCTATAGTGTCCAAGTCTGCAGTTTTATAAAGCTTGACATCCTGAAAACTGTCTGGCCTAAGTCTGTTAGAGCTATCCTTACAATTCCAAGACATATTAAGAGCACTGCTCTATGTTTAGAGATGGGCTTGGGATCCATGGAAGCTAGAGCTTGATACTATACTACTTTCCTAACCTTAGCTAAAGTTAACTTCTGGCTCCACTGGTTCTTAGAAAGCACTTTAAAGTAACCTGGTTTTAAAAAGTTATTGCTAAGCTTCACTCACTAGGACTCTTGGTAGACAGCCTCTGCCCATTAGGCTTCAAAAATGCCAGAAGTGTTCTTAAGCAAAATATCTGGCACACTGATTTTCAAACCAGTCTTAGTCTGCAACCTGGCCAAAGTGAAGGCCTGGTGAAACTGCAGAACTGTGATGGTGGAGAGGTAGAAAGCTGCAGTTTCATCAGGCCTTCACTTTGGCCAGGCTGGATGCATTGGTTTCTGCTGTTCTGCTGCGATGATCCAAAAATACTCCCCTATGCCAACTTATATGTTCTCATGAGGATGGTTCAGTTGAATCCTGTAGACACTATGTTCCTTTGTTACTTTCTCTGCAAATGACTTTTCTCCATCCTATCCTAATATGCTATGAAAAATTGCAAATTTATCAAGCATGGGGAGCAATTAAAAAAAAAAAAAGATTATCCTTCAATGTTGGAAACACAGTGCAATCCAAAATGTATAAGCTTGAATCACATATATGTATTCTCACCCGGCCCTCAGACAGCATAATAGAAAGATTTATCAGTATTATTTCATGTAGTCAAGTTGTATGTAAACATTAGTGTGAATGATTTCCTATATGTTTAAAATGTTACCTGGGTAGGGGTGGGGATCTTTTTCTGAGTATTTTTGTAACGTTTTCCTCTTTTCTCATATATTCAAGCAATAAAATAAAAAAAAGAGATTGGATGATTACATATTAACATTCTGAAAGGGCATCGGAAAACAATAGCTCTATCACGTCCATAATGTTTTCTTTATGCTGTTGCAACACGAAGAAGTCAGGTGTCAGAACCTCGCAATCAATTAACCAGCATCTTGGTTAATTGAGCAACTTAGCAACTAGCTAGCTTGCTCAGTTCTGCTTGCTCTGAGCAACTAGCTAGCTTGCTCAGTTCTGCCATAGTAGTAGTGGGGGGGGGGGCTAGGTGAATAGCAGTTAGAGCAGATGGCCTGTTATCTAGTGTTCAAGAATGCCAAGGTCGTGCTGGTGTGAGAGCAGGAGAAGGCACCAGAAGGACTGAAGGGGAGAAGGGGGGCAAGGAATGAGGGGTTAAGAAAGCATTGGGGCGTATGGGCTTTTCAGTTCCAGCAATCTCTACTATGGACTGTATGTTAACTCTCAATAAACTGATTTTCTTTTGGACTTGCTGAGTTCCAGAGAAGGTTTCATTTTATTGGGGTTGAAAGTTCCTGACATCAAGGCTATTATTTTGCAGGTCTGTAGGTAGGTGTACACCCACCTAATCACTGAATAGCCTTTAATATTCCTTTTAATATTTTAAAATATTTTAATATTTTCCAAGGAGAACCTGAGGAACAGGAGCAAGAGTTAGTTGAGAAGTGAGGTTTTACTGCAAAAAAACAGACTAAGGATTGTAAGCAGTTTGCCTATTTTGTTATTGCAAACGAAGTTATCTCTGTTCAACTGAAGTGTCAGGTCACTTTAAAAATAACAAAAGAAATGAGGAGCTCTACCATCCCTTAAATTTTAAGTTGACTTAAAACTCCAGATAAACTTCCCTTTTTTAGGGACCAGGGCAGGGGGAAATGCCTTCCTCTCTGCTGTCTTAGAGTGGTTATACACCATGATTCAGATATTTTACTCAAAAAGGACTATTTAAACAAGTAATAGTTCATATATACTTTGCTGAGCATATATTATAATGTAAGTTACTACGTAGCCATAAATTAGTCTCTGAACCATTAAACATTATTACTTATATTCAGAAATTAGCTCTGATTAATTTCTTACATAAATATTGGAAGATAACACTGCAAATGATTGTTTTGTGTAATGATAGAAGGGTAAGGTATTTTTCAGAAATACTTTTATACAAACACAGAATTTTGGGAAATTAACTGAGTTTATTGTCCAATGTCATGTGACCATTTTCATAGTATATTTTAAAGATCTAGTCTATGACTTCATAACATGATATTATAAAGTTTAACTTTAATTACATATTTAGCTTCTGTAATGACTAGCTGTTTTTATTACATTTCTTTTCACAACAGTTCTATAAAATAAATTACTGGTCTTCCTCTTTTAAAGACTGTAAATAAGGTTAAGAGATTATTTTGTGCAAACCTATATAAAAAATTCACAGCAGTTATTGAACCCAGAGCCAAGTCCAAATCACCATGGTCTAGATCACATAGTTGATTATAAAATGAAATACTGTATATCTTTTAAAGTATGCAGTATTGCAGATAGCATTTTTACTGAGCATTGAAAGATGCATTACTCTTAAACTCAGGTCTTTGGATATTTGTTTTCTGCAGTGTCTTTATAGGCGAAAGTTCATATACTGAGTGCAAGGAACTCTTTCCAAAAATGGCTGAAGTGTTATTAACAAGAATCAGCTAAAGGGACAGGGTTTTTTTTTATTTATTTAAAATGAGCAGGATTTATACTCACAATTGGCTGGAAATGCCATGGGGAGATGGAGATTTAGGTATTGTATGCAATGTTTACAACTTTCGTTATTCTTGTCTGTTTATTGTAGCATTTAACTTTGATCTCTGCAGTATTTACAGAACTGTAGCTCCTGTTCCTGGTAAATTAGATACAGTACCATATGACTTGGATTGCAGAATCTAAATATAGCCAGTGGTACTTCACATTTCAGTCAGTGAGAAACGAATCATAAGGAAAAGTTAGACTAAAAAATATTAGAAATCATTTTTTTCCTAAACTAACCTTTAATATTTTTCTCCTTAAATTTAACCTGATTCTCTCTCCTTTACAATACAGCGAATGCCATGCTGTGAATGCTTGATAAAGTCTTCAATACAAGTATAGTATTGAAAGGCTTTTGTATGTAAAATCACAGTAATGTTACTTCTAGGATACCTATAGTTCTGCTACCAATCATGTCAGCTACAATAATTCATTTACATAATTGACAAGAATCTCAGTCTGTTATTGGACTTTGGCTTAGAAATTTAGAAATCATGATTGTTTTAAAGTTTTCTGTATGGGTTTTAAAAATGTTAGAGTACAGAAGAATGCCTTAGATTCTTGTTCCTTCCATTAACCTGTAAAAATTAAATGGGGGGGGGGAGAGGGGGAGTGGATGCAGGATGGACCATTTCTCTCAGCAGCAACTTACTGCTTTTTACTTTACTTTTTCTTTGCAAATGCAACCGTGAACAGAGCTAAGTATATTAATGTAAAAGATGGGGAAGAGCCTTTAGCTCTAAGAAACAGGGAAAGGAGGCACACAGGGAGTACTTTTGAACTGAGACGTTAGCTAGTATGTGTGTGCTCTTATTCCATCTATAATAGGGACCCTGGACATGGAGGCTAAGTTCAGTGCAGAGCTTTGGACTCTATCCTGACATTGTGAGAGAAATTAAATGTCATGGCATTGCAGTAATAACATATGCCACATTTTTCTAAGAAGCACAGCATGTAGATCTAAAAGGGGGATGGGAGGAAGCAGAAAAGTTAGCAGGATATGGATCAATATGTTTTGCAAGGGACAAAACCAAAACCAACGGTAAGAAAGATCCTGTCTGCAGTATTCTGTTTTTAACAAAATTGGTAGTACCAGTACAAGCTCAGAATGCCTCAGGGATATTAATCAGGGACTTTATATGCTTGGTACACTTTCCCCAATGCTGCAGCTCTTAAAGCTCATTTGGCAGCAGAACAAATTGGCACAAAAGTGTATTGAATTCTCTGCAGAGGATGGATGAAGGAGGTTGTAAATAGCAAGCATACATCTTGGGGTCTGTTGCTCATACAATAATTTGCAAGATATTTGTCTTATATTTCATTTTCTGGTATAAATAACATGCTGTTCCTTTTACCATAACATGTGGCAGATTTTTGTGCAGCGTTAAAATCAAGTATTATGTATACCATCTACATCTAATTTACATCAGAAGAGTCTTATTTAATGCAGTGAATGATTGCTGGAAATTTCATATTTATTTCTAGATCTTTCTTTAGCTATAGAGCAATATGTTTTTAACCGATGCACAGAATTGCTTAGTCTGTGCAATATGAAAGGCACACCAGTATTTTGATATGGAAAAAGAAACAGGGGCCAGTTCCCTCTGGCCACAGCACTATATTAAGTGAATTCCATTAATTGACTTGCAGCTAATGGAACTTGCAGCTCAGTTCTAATATTTCATTCATATTTAGGTTTACAACTAGAAAGCACTTCCATCTGGATAAATTGAAAAACAAAATGCTACCATTACCGTCTTTTTCCATTCCCAGAATGATTCACTGGACATATACTAAGGGATGAGATTTAGATTTAGATTTAGTAAGGATAATACAGAGTCAGTGATAGTTAAGTATGCTGTTTGTATCAGTTCTTTTATATTAATGAAAAATTTAAACTGTGCCACATTATTGTTCCATAGGCTCTTGGGCAGATCGCTCACCACTGCATGAAGCAGCAAGCCAAGGGCGCCTTCTTTCTCTCAAAACATTAATTGCACAGGTAAAAATATTAAAAACTTAACTGAAATCATGGTTCATTTCTGCCATAGTTTTTACTGCTTTGTTAAATATGAAAAGGGCATTACATTACTGTTCATTAATTGCTAGTTTGGGTTTCTGTGGTTTCTTCAACAGTTTATACAGGTCAAAGAATTTCACTACAGTATATATCACAGTGATGGTGACATACAGATCAGGATTAGATACATCCCCTCCAAACTCCAGCTCTCAATGAAGTAATAAATATCCAGATATAGTGTTATAGGGTTCTGAACACTAGCAATTGTACAATACAAAAAACAAACCAAATAACTGCTATCCAGGCTCGGATGATAAATTCACCTAATTCACATTATCTGTTAAAATGTCTAGTGTTAACTGGGCAATATGAGCTGTGGTTTGTGGTAGAGATTTGTGTGGACATTTCTGCTGCAACCAGTATGCCAGCTACATTTGCAGAGCATGGCCATCCAACATGATTTTTAGCAACTAAACAACAACTCCACACAAAAGAAAAAAAAAAGCACAAGGCTGTAGTGAAAAGAAAGCTAATCAATCAATCAATCAATCAATCAATCAATCAATTTTATTTCGGTCATAGACCAGCATATAACCAATGACATAGCTCTTACGCTACTGTAAGTATAAAAACAAAAATCATGTTGATAGCATAAAATA